AGCCCAAAAGAAGTCTTCCCCCCCCCCCCAAATCTCAACATGCTCACATCTCGTCCCCGTTAGAAAATCTGCACAACCAGTTGCTGATGTTCTGCATACGACTCTCTGATCTAAACCGAAGGGCCTGCAAATGTACGTTGGCCTTTTTGTAAGCAAAGAACTGGACAACTACTAACAGTTTCAGCAAGAAGTGACATCTCAAAGCGAGAGCTTTTTTTTGAAGGCATCAGTGAGCTCTCCCACGTCTAGATCAGAACTCTGGTGAGACAGGAGCAGGGAGAGAGAGACACGTTCCCAACCCAGAAAGGCCAGGCAGTCTGGTCATTTATCTGGGACGGGATACGCACGACCGTTCTGCAAGCACTGGACTGCAAGTGTCTCAGCTCTGGCCTATACATTATCCTGGGAACTACTGTACATACATCTTTCACGCCGGCGTGTGAGCACACACACGTGCTGCCTACGCCCGGCGCTGCTGGAAAGCGTTCTCCAGTACTTTTCACCACAGTCACTACTCTGAGGACAGCAGTAACTCTGATTAAATACAAGCTGCTCTGTGTATTTCTGCAATGACAGATCGAAACGACGAATGTTTAAGGTACTCATGGCAGCTTTCTAGACGTCCTCGTTTCTCTCAGTACTTGCCTGCGCTTTGGGATTTGTTGAGGGGGAACTCACCAGTAATTTCCCAGTCCCCAGGTGCCATTTTCACTTGATTCAAAGCCTACTAACAATGGAAATAAAGGAACCCACAGCCACAGGGTCTACTTTTGTAGTCAGGCCACTTACATAAAGCAGCATCAGCTTATTTCTACTACTTCTCTCACAGAGAAATTCCTGGTTACCTTTAGTGATCGATGCTGTAGAGGGACTAGGGACAACCGTACTTGCTGCCGTGACAGCTGAAACTGCTGAAACTTTGCTGGCAGAAAGTGACTGCATCACTGGAGAGGACAAAGAAAAAAGGACAACAGAGAGAAAAAAAAAAATAAAATTTCACACACTCTGACAAATAACCATGTTCAGAAGCAACACAGTGTTTTTACAGCACAAAGTTTAGGGATTAATTTCCTTGCTACATTTTCTTCTACCTCTAACTTTGCACCATGTCCGCCAACAGTGACCAAGAGCTACCCTGCGTCAAAGGGGATTGTCAAACACCATCTGTCATCCTCCTCTGCCCTTTACCTTTGTTCATAGGCATGAGTATTGTCTGAACACCTCCAGAAGCTGTGTTTACACCGAGCTGTTTAAGCTGGCTGGGAACTGTCAGAACAGCCTGCTGTGGACTAGACTGATTTGAGTGGATTTTTAGCAACCCTGCAAGAAGAACGGAAGACAAAATGTTAAATAAAACACACCATTTCGTTTATCTCCAGCTACTTCTCTCCCTTTCTGCCTGAAGCAGGATGGCACATAAGCTAGCGCTGCCACCCTCTTAACAAGCCACAGTTCAGCGAACTGTCAGACAAAGTTTTTACTGACACAAACGACTGCTAAAATACCGGGACGCTGCACCACAGCGTGCGCAGCTATTACGTGCTGCACAGCGTTGATATTTGTAAAGCAAGTTTCCTAAGTGATCTTAAGCAAAAGTCAAGGCAACACAAACCTTTCAACTGAAGCAGGCTCAGCACAGAGTAAAGCACTCTCTGGTCCGAACAAGACCTTGAGCGCAAGGGTCCGGTAAGCCAGTGAACGACAGCTCCGTGGTGCTTCCAAAGCCACTCGCACTGGGGTACCCAAGTGCCACACGCACCTCTGCTGTTCAGTTCAGGAGAACCCACTGCAGTCAGCAGAGCACAACCAACCGTGTCTTAACTAAGTGACAAGCCCAAGGCTGCACAGCAAGTCTGATGAAGGCATACCTGGACTGAGTGTCCTGTGTCTTTCTGGAACATGCACTGAATCCATCCATAAGGATGGCTAATCAAGCTACGAAGCATATTAAAGTGGGGACTGAATTAAATCACTGATTTCAGTCAAGGCTAAAAGAACAAGCAGGACATTCAGATATTAACAGCATTACCAATGGCAGCACCCAGTGACTTCAGTGGAAAGCCTCACGGCTCCAAGCTGCGTCACGGTGCCATGGGCGAGGAGCACTCGGCACCTGCCCACCAGCTCTCTCCTCCATGGTGACGACACCTCAAGTCACCACAGCCAGCACTCTAGCACTGTGATCTGGGCCTATGTTCATCCTTTCAGCTGGTAAACCAGCTATTTTCAATACAACCATATTCAATCTATAGCTAACTTCTATTCAGACTTTGGAAATTTAACAGGCTTCTATTTTAGAACATTGACAACAGTAGACTTCTTAGTTTCACGATGGTAATTTTATACTCACGATATGCTTTGAGATAAAGTCTCCATTCTCCTCTTATTTTATTATTATTGTTTAAGAAACACAGCTGCCTTTCAAGCACTAGACAGGCAAAGTCTGCTGAAGATGTCTCTTGGTTTTGAAGGATGCATAGCACTGGTCAGTCAGGCTTTCACCACCAGGCAAGGAAGCTGACTTAGCATTACCAATTCACTTTTAAAAATCATAGCGTGTTCGGTTTAAGACTCATGTAAATAAAAGCCCATATTTTTAGAATTCAAAATCTGACTGCTACACATCTTGCCAAAGCATCTTCTTCCACCTCCAGCCTTCTCAAGCACACAGGATGGCCAAGCTCAGCGGTGGCTGGCTCCCTTTGACACGCTGACCCCCAGCAGCTCTTCTGGGGACATCAAACGGTGAATCTAAGATCTTGTTGGGTACAGAGCCCGTCTGCAGCAAGTGAGTAAATGCTTGTGGCTTTGCAAGTCTCTTTCCAGAACAGTTTACTGCACTTTGACAAAGTGCATCGTTTAAAAGAGCGCCTTGGGGCATGTCCCAAGCGGGTGATGCACAGGTGTGTCACGACAGGACAGCAAGGGACCCAAACAGCACGGCGAGTAAGGCGACAACACTTTCAACTAACCCTAGTAGCCCGATGGGTGGGAGACACTGATCGTCGCAAAACAACTTGAAAGTTTGAGATTCTCTTTGAAGAGTTGCCTTTAAAAATAAAAATCTCCAGAATTTTAACACAGTCTTGTTTTTACATTGCAATAACGTGTTTTATAGCCACTGCTTCTTTTGGGATTCTCGAAGGAACAGTTTTTCATCATGAAGTCAGTGCCTCAGGTTACATAAACAAAACCAAAATCTAGATAACGTCCTCATACTCAAATGGGAGTTTTAATCTGAAAGTTCTTTAGAATGGCAATTTCTACAAAAAAACCCTGCTACTTTGTTTGCAAAGAGAAAATACGCAGCTGCTTACTGCAGAACTGTGGCAGTCTTAGCAGTCTATGTTGTTTACTTTCAAGCTCCAGGAAAAACAGAGTGGTGAAAAAAGGAGGAGCTTGGAAGACTGTGTACAGAGGAAACAAAAAAGCTGCTTTAAAAAGACAATGTCAGATGACCTCAGAGTCACTTTCTCTCTCTTTTCTGTATTTTTACTCTGTTTCCACTTAGCATGAAGCCATTTCAAGTCAACAGAACACGCCAGCAGGTAAATTAGTCAAAATGAGAGTTTCTGATTTTAACCTATAATACTCACATTAAACCTGCTATATTTGCTCTCCATGATACAAAAGATACTAGAAGACAATAAAACTAAATAAGGAAAACTCCCCTCTACATAAGGGCAGTCCATCTTTACTACCTCATCTTTATTAACTTGAAACATTCCAGATCCAACCTATTCCACTGTACTCAATGGATTTTGACTTCAAAGCCCTCAGTTCCCCCAAATCAACCCTTCTCTCCTCTCCAAGCCAAACAGAGCAGATGCAAAACCTCAAAGCTAAATTCTGCTCACGCAGCTTCTCTGACTTCAGTGGAGTTTCACTTCCACAAGCTATTCAAGGCTGTAGTATTGCTGGTAACTTGAGAGTTTCAGCCTTGTGACACACTGTGCTTTTGAATAGGCAAAATGCGTCTTCTAACACGAACTTGGCATGAAAACTAAAATCCCTCTCCAGTGCCAAGGGGCAACTCGCATGGTTGTTATTTCTAACACATACAGTCAGTGCACTGACGTGACAGGGTGCCAAATTATTTAGACACCTCTTTGGCTAAGCCAAAAGTTATGCTAGTAAGATATGTTTTAGAAAGCACGACTTTACTTTTACACATTGACAAATGCAGGTGTCTGCATTCTTCCATTTACAGTGAGGATATCTAACAAACTCACACCTGGATTCTAACTTTCTATAGGAAAGGCACAAAGGGAGTTTAATACCTGACACTGCAGCTTTTCCAGTCACGGGCGTTGGTGTAGTCATCAGAGAAGCAACACTTACAACAGTGGAAGCTGCAGTCTTATTCACTACTGATGAAGTTGACTGGCTCTGGCTTATACAGATTTGGTGTTGCTGCCCAGATGTCTTTGCTGCAGGAGTTCCAGAGGATGATGAGCTGGAACCTGCATTGTCTGTCTGCTGCATGAAAGAGGCAGAGAGGGGTAACAAATCTCTTTTCATATCAGAGATTATTCAACAACAAGCACAACAAGGGAGTATCTAGAATTAGCAAAACCAAATGTTTATCTATCAGTCATTAAGAAGCAAGAGGCCTATATCCAAAAGCCCATACGCAATGATGGTACACACAGAATGGAGGCTGTTTCAAGCAGAAAAAGTGAAACCGCGCACACAGGAACTGCTACCACAACTGCTTTGATAGCATCTGGAGCCAGGACCCTTAACTTCAGCAAGCAGGTGGGCCTCCAGATGAGAAATCTGACCCAGGGATGTTTCATATTTCCCTGCTGCTCAGAAGTCCAGAGGTATCAGCAGAGAAATGGAAAAAAGTATGAGATAAACAGGCTGGATGGAAAATTTCTATCTCTGCAGCTTCACCGAGAGCTGTAAGAACAGCTGTCAAACCAACAAAAATTCAACGCAAATTTGAGCATCTTCACCTACACATGCCGTGTACCCCAGTGTTCAGCCCTCTGAGGGCAGCAGGGCATCCACTTTCTGGCTGTTTAATCTCTGCCTCCCCACAGGGAAAAGCAGCAGGGCTGGAGGAACCCTCCCAGCGAACTACATGCTGTCCTTTTTGCTGCCTCCTCCCCACTTGGTGCCAAAGCACCTTCTTCCAAGGCTGCACTGTTATGGCTCCCCGGGATACAGGGGAGTGACATCCGCTAACGCGGCCAGGACTGAAGGACCACGAGCCTTGGCCACTGCCAGCCTCTGAAATCTGCTGATGGCAGATCGGGCACTAAGCACCGTGGAGAGCCTGTGGTCTCAGAGAAGTGGCCTACAGCCTAGTTACTGCTGGCTTTCACTGGCCTGCTGGCTGCAGAGCTTCAGGCATTTCACGTTCTGCAAATTTTCGTGCCAGAACTGGTGTTTGAAAGCTGCGTAGCCTGAACAAATCTGATCTGTACGATTGCAAAAGCAGTTTCAGATAAAGCCTTCCCTGCCTACCTGGATTTTGACACCATTAAAAGCAAGAAAGTGCAAGTTTCAGTTTCTCTTCTCCCCTTGTTTCTTCACAGATACTACTTTATGCCAAACAGCAGACAATCCAACAGAAAAGGAGTTGTGTGCACTGTGCAGACCCACCAGCAATGCCGACCGAGAAGAATACCAGCAGTGGAAAAAAGCAGTAGAAGTCCTTCCCTGGGGATTACACTGGTCAGAGTGCAAATGCTGTATCACAGAATATCAGCAATGCTGTTTCTCACCTGGGCCACCCCGTTTGTGGGAAGGGCCACGGCAGGAGCAGCGGCCGTGGTGATAACGCCTCCTGATACTCTCAGCACAGTGGTGCCAGGTTTGGAGAGCTGGGATGAAGCAGGCACTGATTTTATAGACCCATCTGATATTTTCACCAACGATGTCTGTCCACTGGGTGCAGCCTTTGAAAAAAGAAATCAGCACAATGAAAAAGGTGTATTTGACTGGATTTTTTTTTTTCAAATGACTTAAAAAAACCTTAAACAATCACAACAACAACACAACAAACAAGAAAAATGCTTCCTGAAAAATATTTTCAAAAGACTTTTGAAAAAGACAAACCGTGGCAATAATAGCTGGAACAAAATTGTCACCTCAGAAATCAACTTCATCAGACTGTTGACTTTGCAAAAATATGCCTATCAACCTTGAATTTTGGATGCGCAATTACAAGTAGTCCTGGAGAGTCTGAATTTCACAGGGACCACTTGGTAGCTTTTAAAAGAAGGACCTTTGAGGGACACCAAAACCAACAATTTTTAAGAGCTTTAGCAGGTGACCCATTTCTAAGGCTCAAATATTTAAGCACATTTTTGCACATGACTGTATCCGCTTCTCTAATTCCATTTCACTACGAAATCCCAGAGCACATTTACAAATGAGCAACCCAAGCTTACACACGACCCACCCCGAGAACAGAAATCAAGCTGGAAAACTGTGGTCCAATATCTGCATATGAAAGTAGGCCTCCTGTGTTTTGCTTATCACTGTACAGCCAGCATTGTAATTGCACAAAACCCAAACAACTTCAAAAGGAAAAACTTTCAAAACGTGTGGCTGTGGTTCCTATGCCTGACAAAATGCTGACTGGCAAGAGAAAAACACGTCACTTGGACATTACCTGGGTAAACAGAGCTGTTTTCTGCCCAGTTATCACTTTCAGTGCTTGTCCTTGTGTGGACGGTGCTCCGACTCCTACGCTGCCCTGAACAACCGAAGCTGGAGTCAGCTGCTTGCCGGAACTCTGAGGAGAAGGCTGACCGACCAGAAAGGTGCCCTGCTCCAGAAGTAAGTTATAGGGAGGTCAGCACTTTGACACACAGTTAAGAGTCAACAGAAATCTAGGAGCGTCAACACAGGGCACAAGCCTCTAGCTGTAACCCAACAACATTTCACCTTCTAAAACAAGGCACTGCTCATTACAGTGGATGCTTCCGCACTAAGAGCTGGGCGCAGCCTTCTCGGTGCAGAACACCACTTTCTGAGGCAAGGCAAGGGGTGAAAAAGCCACAATCGGTTTCCTGTCTTGTCAGAGTCATCCACTAAAATTTAACACACTTTATGGTCTTGAAGTTTACTCTTTGTGACAAATGCTGCTTTGCATGCAAGATCAGAGAGGCTACTGCTGGGTTACGCAAAAAAAGAGAGAAAGCGAGTCATTCTGTCACCTTTTCACTTCAAAATGTATTTAGTCCCCCCACAAAGGCTACACATTCAGAGCTGAGCACGCAGAAATCGCAGCGACAGCTGGAGGTGTGCGCCCTAACAATCCACCACCCAGGACTTTGCCACCCTTCCTGCTTCTTATCAGTCTTCTGCCGCTACCTTTCGGAGGCTTCGTTCACCCACTACCACACAGGAATCCCTCCACACAATCTTCTGCCTTCTCATTTTATTTCCTTACTCAGCCTTGCTCTTCCTCTCAAATAACTCTCCTTTAGTCTCCTATCTCTACTGCTTTCCTCCACCTCTTACGCACCCTACTCTGTAAGATAAGAGAGATGTGCTGGTAGCAAGTGGTAAAGCAGGTGCCTGGCAGAGGGGAGAAGGGCAAGGGTTGTTAGAGAGGCTCTAGATCCCATCGTCCAAGACGTTTCATGTGCTGCAGAAGCACAGAATATCCACATATCGCCACCGCAGCCTGAAATATCAACCTGCTTCAATGAAGAAGCTTACGCCACTGACCTGGGGTGTCTGCTTCAGGATGTAGGATGTATAGGTGAGGTGCTGTGACAGGTTACTGCTTGTGCTTTGGGTTCCTCCTCCCCCAGTGTTTGTAGAAGAACCAGATTGGAGACCTGTAACCAGAAGAAAAGGCTTGACCCTTTGGTAACTTGACCCTTTGGTAACTCAACCCTTTGGTAACTAGGCTATCAGCTGCTAACGCATCCCTGTATATATAACTAATTGAAAACACTTTGCAAGATGCTTGCTGCCACATGTTTTGCAGCTATGAATAATACCATTTCCAAGTACAGCACAGTTCAGATGCACTGCTGTGCTCTCTTACAGCTCAGCAAATGCCATGAACGAAAGGGGTTATGGGGGAAATACAGAGGACCGGTGGGCAAGCAAAGTGCATTCCAGGCTGTTTTGAATTTTCTATCAAAAGAAGATGTTGTCCAACACATTAACAGTCTTCTCATCGGTCTTGTGCAGGTTATGAATACGCAGCAAAAGCCCTCGAAACACTCCAAATCCCACTGGCTTCTTAATTTTACTTTTGTTGGTTGTTTCGATGCAATTTTGTCAACTGAGTATTAGATCATGGACACGTAGCAGTGGTAATTTGCAGTGACACTTTGATATTGCTCTGCCTCCAGAAAGGACAGCCCGAACACTGACTTTTTACCATCTCTCATTAAGAAACAATGAGAGTATAAAAAACCCTTATGGCTCTGTCACAAAAATCACAAGTATTTGCTCTTCCTCGATGCCCAAGAGATTATTTCTTTGTCAAGGTTGGACTGCCCCAGCTGCCCCTCTAAATCTCAAGCAACGGGGCTCCCATCACAAGTTCTACAACCCAAAAATACCTTCACCAAGAGTACCTATTTTTTGAGTGACACGTGTGCTATTGCCATGTTGCTGGTATTTACAGCCTTATATATTAAACTGAATAATACCTCTTCCTCACTGCCAGTATCAGAACTGGGAGCAAAAAGGTTACACCCAGTTCACCTCCTATCCCAACTCCCAGCCCCAAACAAGCATTCTGGAGAAGGCTCCCAACAAAACATCAGAAATATTTGTGCAATGTTATTCTCCAGGGATTCACAGCAAGTTTGACTCACAAGCCCAGACAGCAGACTCTTGTGAGGTCTCAGTCTTAAAAAGCACCACATCACTGTGTTGGTGCGAACCAAGAAACCCCATCCCATTACTGACTTCCACAGTACCAGGATGCTTCACAGCAAAAATGCCAAACATTAATTATGCAGTGATTACATTATTTAACTCATTAGATTTCCCTGCAAGACTAACTAGCATTATTTGTGGCTCGCAGTATGGCTCCTTGGGGTATCAGAAGCAGTTTTCCTTTCCCAGAAGGATTCTTGCTGTTGGTGGTGAGGTACAGTTTGGTGCCTGGTGGCAAGTTTGCCAAGTTTGCCAGGTTGGTGGCTGGTAACTGCAGTGTAGCCATCACTAGAAAGAAAGAATAAAAAGAAATAAAACTACTGCTTGCAGAAAGCAGTACGCATTGAAATCTGCACAGGATGAAAGTACTAGGAGTGACATGCAGCTAGCCTTTGATAATCTGAACTTCACTGGCCTAACCGTGGACTAACTCCGCCAGTGATGCACAGGTACTTTTCTAAATAGGTCTGAAAAAGTCTCTAAGTGCAGCACCACTTGTGGCTGCAGGCCAAAGGAGCAGAGCCACAGGGTCCCCAGGCTTGCTCCAGTCCAGAAGCCACACAACACCCTGCCAACAGTCCAGAGGCCGAGCTAACATGCTCAGTGAAAGCCAGCTGGGTGCAGAAGCAGGCAGGGTGCTTCTGCCCACACTCCTGTTCCTGTAAGCACTGGGGAAGACGTGAGGATGCAATAACGACAGTTTGACTCTTGTTGGTTGGATTTATGTGGATCCCCTGGAGTGTTTGAGGACTACAAATGCTGGGCAAAAATGTGAGACCTGGCTCCATGAAAGGCTACTAGGTCTCCAGCACATGCCCCAGCATATCTGTCTGATCTCCACTCACGGAACACTGCATGTTTTGAAGTACTTGTGCTCCCTCTTCCTCCCTACAGCTAATTAGTTAGGATTGTCTTTATTACTAATCTCTGTCAGCCTGAATTTCCCTACAGACCTCTCTCCTCTTTTTAAAGTTTTCCAAATCACACACAGTTGTTTTGCAGTTGAAGAAATCATTACAGAGTCCCAAAGTCCACCCATCATAAGCTATTAACAACGTGTAAAATTACTCTACCTGAGCCTTGAGATGTACTTTTCTGAGCACCCGTGGAAGAAACCTGCGCCTTCGTTATAGTCTGCACAGGCTGAGCAACAATCGTCCCTCCTCCTCCACTCACGATGGCTTTGGCTACACCTTGAGTCACAACCTGCTTCGGACCAACAGCCTTTGCTACCGAAGAGCTAGATTTTGCCACGAGTATCTGGCCACCGCTGATAGCCACTGCTTGTTTCACTGTCGACTGTAAAGCAGAACCAACTGGGACGCCAACAACCTGCAACAAATAAGTATTGGGTGACGTGCTGCTGGCAAGAGCAATGAAGGAATTCTAGCTGGTATGCTTCCTCTACCTCTAGACATTTCAGGATGCTTTATACACGTCTAGTCACGCATAAAAGCTGTTCATTTGGAAACAAAACTAAATTGGCAAGAGGCCAATCCCAAGTAAAAAGATAAACTGTGAAACACAAGCGGGATTTCAGAGTACCCATAAAAGATTAAGTACATTCAAAATTACAGGGCACTTCTATTTTTTTCTGATACATAAGCAATGGCTTAATTCCAGCTGAAGATAAAGCTTGCCTTGGCAAAGCACAGGGATCCAGAAATTTAGTTTCAACACATTCATGGGAACAGACTCCCTGGGAAAACCATGGCCTCAAAGCTGAATCCACAAAGTGCTTCAATTTTATGTTTTCAGTAACTGCAGGCAAACATGAGTTTGCACACCTGCTCAAACAGGCAAATAAGGCAGTAAAAAGTACAACGAACTGTTGCAAACGTAAATTTCTATTTGCTTATGCAAAAATGAAAGCTCTGTATGTAGTCTCTTGTGCTTGGCACATGATTTGACTCTACCCACAGTGGCAACAGGCAAGGATGGAGACAACTCCTGACACCTCTGTCACCTCGTCACTGCACAGTTACCGTGCCTTCCCAGGAGCTGTGTCACTCCTGTCATAGCAGCACGGCATTGTCACAGACTCCTACAATAAAGCACTTCAGCTGCCACTCAGGTAGGACTGCTTCCACCCCATGCTAGCTCTGGCTCAGCCTCCACTCCACTCCCTACTTGTCCTGGTCTTTTTTGTGCAGTCCAAGGACAGAATTTACCTCCTCTTACAGAAAGACCTGGATGAGTTTTCAGCAAGAGCTTTCTGGGTCGACAGGCTCCAGTTCAAAACCACCCCCACCGCACTGCTGCAACGGGTTAGCCAGAAGTGGGAGAGCTGTTACTTGCACACAATGAAAGGCAACAGTGCCTGCTCACCTTGCTCCCTTCTCGGGGACTACAGACAGGCATGGCACGAGTCACTCCATGCACACGGGGAAACCAGCTAACCACGGCGCCGCTGCCCGGGTCTGAGACAGAAGCAACCTCACGCCCCGGAGACAAGCACCAGGCGTTGCAATCAAACCACAAGAAAGCCAGTTTGCACCACACCAAAGATGCCCGAGTGCCTCATACCTTAGACTGCACCGTCCCCTCGCCCGTGCTCACGACCGGCTTCTGCGGCGACAAGGCTAACATGTGGCTCCCTTTCACAGTGACGTACTGCTGCACAGAGGTCTGCGTCGTCGTCCCTGTTGCTGGCAGCTGGGGTTGCTGGGGCAGCTCTCCTGGCTCCTGCTTTATTATCACCTTTTAAATAGGAAGAAATAATACATAATAAGAAAAGCAAACACCTTAAATCACTGGGGATCTCTTTTGTAACAGCCTGTCTGCAAGAAAGGTCAGGCAACAGTCAGTAAACTCAGACTTGGTTGTTACCACCACGCAGATGCTCTAACTCGGCTCTGAGATGAGGGCTACTCCCAGCACACAAGCGTGTGCGTGCAGAGAGGTGTCTATATATACAAAGCATTCCAAAACTGAGAGGTGCTCAGAGGAATTACAGAATCACAGAAATCGCTGGTAGTATTACAACCGCTAGTCATACCAACGATGGACTTGGCCAGACCTGACTTCTTCAGGCCCTGCATCTCGGCATGGAGCCACAACACTTGAAGGTTTCAAATTTCTAAGGACCTTCCTGCTCAGAACACGTTCTAAACATCAAGTTTTTTTTTCTATCCTGCAAAATTACAACCAATATTGTAGCTATAGATACCGTATATTATTATAGCTGACATTAAACTCTTGTGTATATGTTTTACGTTTCTCTGGGACAGGTCCTAGATCTAATCTCTAAGACCAGCAACTCCAGCAAGGCTGGGGTTTTTTGTGTTAGACTGCTGTAGCTACTGTAACTGGTAGGAAGCGTTCTTCCACCTTCTGCTTGGATCACCTAATACTACCAGGAACAACTTTAAATTCCGGATGGTAACATTTAAGGAAACGCACTCCAAAGCGGCACTATCTGAGATTCAGAAATCACTAAAGTGGTTTTTAAGAAGCTGCTGACAGATCTACTGCAGTTTACTTTAACTGTATCCCACTAAAAATAGCTTTTAAAATATCAGCCTCCAAATGACAGCATTTTAAAGAAAAACCACAAAGGATGAAAGAGGAGATAAAAAGAAAGATTCATAGGTACGGTAGAGCCACTGGGAAAGAAAAGAAAACAAGATACACTTTTGAGAGGTGCTAGAGAGCCCCTGGAAGCAAGACACTTCGGTTCCAGTAATAGTTTTACACGCACTGGAAGTTACACAGTTCGTGGTACAAGGCAGTACGAAACGGCACTACTCGTCCTAGTACTCGACAACTGCTAGGTGGGCCTACTCCTTGTCCCAGTGCAAAAGGCAAGAGGAATACCTTTGTAAAAGCTCCAAGTCCTCCCGTGACCGATTTGGGGCTCTGCACCTTGGAATGACTCCCAATGGGACAAAGGGGTGGCATGGTGGCAAACAGAGAATCCTCCTGCTGCGAATAGGAAGACAGGGCGCAAATATCGGTGAAATGTCCAACGCGAGAAATAAAACAAGTGACTGCTAATAAGGGGCAGCGTGGACCATCCTGGCAGTCCCAAATTACCTTTACAAATAAGCCATTTTCAAAATCAGTCAACACTTAAGCAAAAGGAGTGCAGCATGCTTAATGTCACCTATAAAGCAAGTTTTATTTGGAAAGTTACATCTCCAGCAGCAGTAACGGTTCCTTACCATACCATACACACGTGAAAGACATCGACTCCTGTTTCCCCACCAGCTTTTTACACAAAGCACTTCAGAACTGTACAATTCAAGTAGGCTGAGGAGGGATTTAACCAATGCGTGTGAATACCTGACGGGAAGGTGCAAAGAAGATCGAGCCAGACAACGCTCCATAGTATCCAATGAAAGGACAAGAGTCAATGGGCACAAATTGGAACACAGGAAATGCTGTGTAATATAAGAAAAATTTTATTATTTTTTTTTAAATTTAATGGTGCTCAAACACTGGTACAGGTCGCCCAGAGAGGCTGTAGACTCTCCAGCCTTGGAGACATTCAAAATCCAACTGGACACACTCCTGAGCAACCTGCTCCAGTTCACCCTGCTATGAGCAGGCGAGTTGAACTGGACGATCTCCAGAGGTCCCTGCCAACCTCCACCATTCTGTGATTCTATACGCAATCTCAGAGGGAAGACAATCTAAGAAGGAACAAGTTACGGAGGGGGAAAAAAGTGTTCAGTTTAGGTCTGCAACCAAAATTCTCTCAGATTAATTTTTGCTCTCCCATAACCAGAAACACCTGACAGCACACAGTCTTTCCAGGCAGAACTCACCATTTGGCAGAAACAATGACACTACGCAACTAAACA